ATTACTTTCCCGCGTCACGTTTTCCCCCTCTTATATATACCCGCCTACCCCATCTAGTAAATACTAGAGCATTCGCCAAAGTACAGGATAGTTCTAGTTCTAGAAACGTGGCGTCACTGTAGTCACGTGACTCGCTGACGCAACAATAATAAAAGTAAAACTGGTAGGTTTTGATGTCGATCTAGGCACTTGGAAAGTTATTTCATCTCCTTGTTATAAAGATAGCAGACATTCGCACTTGGTAGGTTTTGATGTCGATCTAGGCTCTTGGAAAGTTATTTCATCTCCCTGTTATAAAGATAGCAGACATTCGCACTTGACAAATGTAATTTATAGACGACTCTTTTAATCTACGATATTTATAAAAACAACTACTAATAATTAATTTATAATTGATTAAAGCGTGACTTAATGTAAAAAGTACAGATAACGCACCCATGTTGATAATCAGAAGATTAAACCAAAGTGTACAAGACTGTGGATCCATGGTTAGCTTCCCGTTGTCGCAAAGAATCGTGCTTTGCTCCTTGAGGACGTTGGTGTGTTATAAAAGTTATCCAGCTATTTAATTAAGGTGTTTCAAGTGTTGGCAATGGGTGCTGCGTTCATTTTAGTCAATAGTGATACCAAAGTAATATATTCCCCAAGGTAAATATAATATTCTATTGATCAACAAGTTTATTAAAATATTTATTCACGACTCAACATTGTTATGAAAAGTTTAACAATAGCAACAAATACATCTTTAGAGACTTTTAGTAATATATGTATTAATTATATTTAGTCTAATAATTAATCTAAAATGCATCTTTTTTAATATGTGCCTAAATATTTTCTATGCTTTATGGAAGAATGTACGATACGCCCTCTGTTAATGTTTCAATGTTGATAAATTATATTTATAAGAATATTTCATATTTTGTATCCGTGCCTTATTTGTGTAGAAGACTGTGTAAAAATTTGTAATAATCGTTCCAAAGAAATAAAATAATACATAACGAACGCTGATATATCAGTTTAGTGAAATAAACATTCTTTAATTAAAGGTGTAATATATTTTATAATATTTAGTATATACTGTATAATTAATAAACACACTATGTTAACATTGTCAAAGACGGCGCTGTATTAGTTTCCACGCAGACTCAGTAAAAACATTGTCAAAGACTCGGAAAAACCAAACTTCTTCGATAGGTTAGACTAAAAATGAGGCCTATTCTACTCGTTCGATTTACAAAATTATGTAATTATGTTGTTTAATATATATAGGTGCAGAAATTAATTCAACACCCAGGATTTGACATCGTTTTTTAACTCATTAAACGAGTTTTACGTTTGTTGTTGAGGGCAAGGCGTTATAAGCCCTTAGGCTTACCGCTAAGCCATGGGAAAAAGAGGGGCAAAATCTTAAGCGCGATTAAACGTTTTCTTACATAATTACACAAATTGATTTGAAATCTCGTTCGGACTTACATAAGTAGAGAGAATAAATAAGTAATTAATCTAATTTCATACCATTTTAAGTTATGATAATACAAGAAAATACCTTTAGGTTTGATGTTTTCTGTATTTATTTATTTTTAGCCGTGGCATAGCGGCTCATATAATGGCTGAGTTTTTCAAGTACAAACCTTTAGCTCATAGCTCTATCATATCTTGACCAATTTGTGGTCTAATTACAGTTTTGGACTCAGGAGGTCAAACCCTTACGTTTGGTGTATTTGACCACGCTCAAAGTCTCGTAGGTTAATTTACTCTAATCCTGTCTAAAAGAATTTCAATTTGAGAGTAGGCTAGTAGATATCGAATCGTGTATACCAACATGGTCATATCTCCCGTCCTACTGTTACATTCCTCGAGCAGCTGGAGAATGAAATGGATATTCATGCTATTCCCATATGAAGACATATTGGCCAAATCGCCAGATGTAGTGATTCTAGATTTCTTTGTGATCGAACTGTGAAAATGGTCCCTGGGAAACAGTCATTCACATACACTAGATGGATTATGAAAGCAAATCAGGGAGGATTTCTGTGCTTTGGACACGACAACTTTAGAATAGAGTCTTTTGAAATGGAAACTATGCTGCTAGGCTATTTACAATAGGTATGTCGAAGTACATGTTCAGTACGTATGTGTTTATGGTGATTTACCTGTCGTGTTTATTACCGGAAACTTGTAATATATCTATTTTGACTTTTTTGTTTCATTCAAAATTTTATAAAAACCAGGACGACGATAAAATAAACGAAAATGTTTTATTACACAGTTATCACAGACGCTTTTTACATACATCATATACTGTGATATTAATCATTTACTTGACTCATTCTGTGCCAAAATTTTAAGATGATATAACTAACTGGAAGACATAGGTGTCGGAACATGAGTGGAGCAGGGGCTCTGTCATCTGCAGTACAGGCGGCAGCAACCACTTCGGTTACCTTATAACTTTAGGTTTACGCTGTTACGACAGCGGAATTCACGTGACGTTGGTAACACGTAATGAGTATCTAGAACGTTCGTGAAGGCTCGAGTGTTTACCAGACGCCCTCTATTTCATATATATGAGACCGGCGAGAAGTGACGGCATAGAT